CCGGAAACTTCAGCAGCATATTCTGCAGATAAAAATAAGTAAAAAAGTTCGTATAAATGTATGTCCTAAAATGCTTTGTTTCGGAGATACAGGGTGTAGAAGTTTCATTTTTATTTCGATTTTTTCCGAATAAAGGTTGATTCTCACTATACCTTCCATAGATGGGATTTTTCCTGCCCTTCTAAAGAAGGGTCAGGAAATAGCTACACACCATCTATTAAACATTACAAGAAGCAGCTTAGCGATGGGATATATACCAACCATCTGGAGAAGAGCTAAAGTCATCTTCATACCCAAAATAGGCAAAACTGACTGGGCTAACCCCAAATCATTTAGGCCTATTAGTCTCACATCGTTCATATTAAAAACGATGGAGAAAGTAGTGGACAACCATATTAGAGTAAATCATCTACAGGTTAAGCCACTGCACGATAGTCAGCATGCATATAGAGCGGGCAGATCCACAGAAACTGCTCTGTACCAGTTAACTGAGCTAATACAGGCAAGCCTGGATAGCAAAGAAACAGCACTTTGTGCCTTCTTGGACATTGCAGGGGCGTTTGACAATATACCTCACAAGGTGGTCAAGCGATCTCTTGAAACAAGAGGGGCGAACAGTACGATAATTCGCTGGTTTTGGGAAATGCTCTCAACACGAACAGCAGAGGCTGAGATAGGTACCAAAACTGTAGTTGTTAAAACAACGCAAGGAACTCCACAAGGTGGAGTGACCTCCCCCCTACTGTGGAGCTTGGTAGTGGATGAACTACTGGAAGAATTAACTCTAGCGGGAATACACTGCATAGGGTCGCAGATGACATAGTCATCATTGCACAGGGGAAACATGAAGGCACCCTGTGTGATATTATCCAAAGAGGATTCCGCATCGCTGAGAGATGGTGCAGGACTGTCGGGCTGAGTATTAACTCAGATAAAACCGCAGTAGTGCCATTCACCAGAAAGCGAAGTTTGAAAAACTTGAAAAGAATCCATCTAGATGGAAAGGAAATACTGCCATCACAGGAAGTGAAATATCTGGGAATAACCCTGGATAGTAAACTTCTCTGGAACAGGCATATTAAGAACATTACCAGCAAAGCCACAAAGGCTCTCATGATATGCAGAAGACTGGCGGGAAATAGGTGGGGCTGCGCCCCTAACATTTTGCGCTGGATGTATACCATGATAGTAAGACCCATGATTACTTATGGAGCAGTTGCTTGGTATACAAAACTAGAGCAACGTACAGCAAGGCAAACCCTGTGCAAAGTACAGAGACTGGCATGTATCTGCATCACAGGTGCCATGAGAACATGTCCAACAGCAGCAATGGAGGTCATTCTAGACCTAACACCACTGCATATTGTCGTCGGTAGTTATGCCAATGCGACAATGATTAGAATGGTCATTGACGGAAACAGTACTGGGAGAATTTTCAGGTCAGGGGCTTGGAACACCCTCAAAAAGAAAATTCCACTTCTCCAACTCCCAGTGGATGACATACCAAGAATTTACAACTTTGAGAAACACCTCACTGTAGTATTGAGTAATAAAAAGGATTGGAAGAAAGAAACGCTTACTCAGCATATAAAAGACCATACCATCACGTGGTATACTGATGCTTCCAAAACCAAAGCAGGGACAGGGATAGGAGTATTTGGGCCGAAAACTGAATACTCCGAACCAATGGGCACCTACCCCAGTATCCTTCAGGCAGAAATTTGCGCTATCGAAAGATGCGTACAATTTATCTTGGATAGGAACTATCGAAAACAGGAAATTGCCATCCTATCCGATAGTCAAGCAGCACTTAACGCGATCAACTCAGTAACCATCAATTCGAAGTTGGTCAAAGAATGCCTAGAGAAGCTCAACAAATTAGGCAAAGAAAATAAAGTCCTCCTACTCTGGGTGCCTGCTCACCAAGGGATAGAAGGCAATGAAAAAGCAAATGATCTACTAGGAAAGGAGCGAACACTCCACTAACTGGACCAGAACCGTTCTGTTTTCCAAACGGGAACCAACTGAAAGCGGAACTGAAGAATCTGGAAGACTCCATCCGTAACTTGGAATGGGTGTCCTCCAACGGTCTAAGACACTCGAAAAAGTTCCTTAGAACTTATGACCGAGAAAAATCAAAGGTTTTCCTTGATTTAAGTAAAAACAATCTTCGGATTGTCACGGGGTTTCTAACAGGACACTGTCTCCTCAACGAACACCTCAGTAGGCTGAAACTGAGAAACAACGGCGAATGCAGATTTTGTGGGGAAAATGGGGAAACACCAGAACACCTTATCACTGAGTGCGCCGAGACGACGACCATTCGTGCCATGAACTTTGGCACGTCTGATGTCGAGGATGGAGAGCTGGCCTCTGTGGAGCCGTCTCAGATACTGGCTTTTCTCAAAGCCCTGAGACTGTATGATGAGTTATAACTCGTTATAACTCAAGAAAGGGGAACACACAATAGATCTGTAAGGTCGCGGTGATTAACTCCCCTTCTAAACATTCTACATTCATACCTTCCATATCAGCTCCCTTCCGTTTCCTTTCCGTTTATATAAAGGCTGTACTTAAACTGCCATTAAACGGTAGCTTACTAAAATGCCGTTAATAGGTATGACGTCGTTGATGTGACGCACATGATATCCAATCCAACAAAAAAGAGTGAAACCAATGCAATAAGATCACGCTATAAGCAAAAAAAAAATATAAGAAAGTCTTGGTCGGCGTGAGATTTGAACCCCGGACCATTCGCTCACGAAGCGATAGTTTTCAAGTTTCAAGTTTCAAAGCATTTATTGAGAATGTCTCCTTAAATACAATAAAAAGGTGCTATATACAATATATACAATAAATAAAATAACATGATAAGATGGTATGTTGTTCTTCTGACGAAGCACTCAACCATCTAAGCGAACCCTGTGAACAGGGGGGCCGATGTTTGCCCTAGGTAGCTCTTTTATTGACCGGGCGAGGACTGCATGTTCCGCTTTTGCTCACACATGCATTGGGAGTATAGAGGCAATGCCGACGTGCTTTACTTTAATAAATATGTTGGTTACTTAAATCAGATCCGTAGAATCGGAGGAAAAAACTCTTAAAAAACCTTCGTAATATCTAGTAGATTTTCGGTAATTTTATTGTTTGTATGTTTAGTTGTGATGTAGTAGTCTTCAGCCTATTCTGCAACTGATGTACATATTTTATGTACACGGTTGAGAGTAGCGATGGGAACTATCGAATGGTTACTGAATGAATGATTTCAACTATCGAATGGTTTTATTCGAATAAAATCATTCATTCATTTGTTTACTAAAGCATATGTGACCAAACCAAATCTCGCCGTGCGACTAAATGGTTATCGTTGCGCCACGACTATCGAATGCTTTTGATAAATGAAATTTAGTATTCGTTTGATTTTTGTGTGCGTCAGTGCATTATAAGTTCTTCCAAATTTTTATAACTTCGCCTTGTAAATACTATGCTATTTTTGCGTTTATTAAAATATTTAAAATACTAAAATAGTAGTTTTTTTTAATTGATTGTGTGCGAAGTGGTCAAAATTTTTCCGAAAATTTGCGTGATTTTCCGTAGCCCGATCTTTCAATTATTTAATTTTATATGGTATATTATGGTTAGGTTAGATTGCATTTTTTTAAAGGGAAATTTTGAGAAGTAGCAATTTTTAACAGAGATGAGATGAACTTACAATTAATTTTAAAAATACATATTTGTATTTTAGATGTTTTAATAATATGAATTAGTTGAACTTAATAATCATATTTAAGTAATGTGGTTAAGTAAATATAGTTATCGAACTCAAATTTTGGGGTGAGAAAATTAAATTCAAAGTTTTATTTTTTTTATTTTGTTTATGCTAATTCTCTTACTTATATTATCAAATGATTGTAAATTTTTTTTTGTTAATAGGTATAACAAATTATTACTGTTATTATTTATTAAACCAGTCTTTGCTTAAAAACATTAAAACCATTTTCCTACATCCAAAATAAAAAGTATTATTGCAGTGTAACAACAGAATATTAATAAAAAATGCAAACATATAGACATATACTATCCCTAACTAACTAATGCTAAAAGAATAATATTCTTTGCTAATACCAACTAATACGAATATATGGCAACAGCGCCCTTCATAATATATTTTCTGTGTAAATAAATACTAGCACCTCGATAAAAAAAATAATGTGTCCTTATCTTTATTTGACTCAGCAAAAAATCAAAAATGCCGGCTTCTTTCATAGCATTGCCACCGACCGCTGTCGGGTTTCTAGGAAAGAGACCTACGTCGCCGGACGACAAATAAAATCCAGTTTATATTTTATTAAAATCGATCCTGACGAATAAATGAATTTGATAAATGAATGAATTTTATAAATGAATGGTTTTTCTGCCGAATTACTAGAATACAATATTTCAAGGCAGATGACGCATCTATTCGATAATTTTTATTCGAATAGTTTTCGACGAATGTTTTTTACTAGCTATTCGAATTATTCGAATGTAAATGCAACTATCGAATGTTTCGATAGTATTATCGAAAGTTCCCACTACTAGTTGCGAGTAATTTTGAATCTTAGGATTTTTGATTTACGTTTTGTGTGTCCATTGTGGTCAGCGTCTATAATTATTTAAATGCTCTGAGTTAGAACATTACTCACTTTGTATGTAGGTATAACAAATTATATCTGCAAATGTTTCATATTTATCATACGTTGCCATTTTTGTTATATTATATTTGATTAGGATTGTCTAAATTCGTCGTTCTATTATTCGTTTATTGTCTCTAATCCAGTATTTTCGTGTAAATGTGCTATACGAGTATATCTGTCATATCCGGCGATTTTCCTTAGTGTCTTATTTTGTAACCGTTGTAGTCGCAGTCTTTGTTTATTTGAGATCTTAATCCATACTGGGCATGCGTATGTTAGGGTAGGCTTGAGTATAGTTTTATAAAGCAATATTTTATTATCTACCGTCATATGCGATCTAGGTGACAGTAAAGAATACAATTTCTGTAATGCTGCGTAAGTCTGTTGTATCCTATAGGTCGTATTTGATACGAATGACAGCCGCTTGTCAATTTTAATACCAAGATACTTGACACAGGATTTTGGCTGAATAGCTGTACCATCAATTTTTAATGGTTCATGGACAGTTACGTTACTAATTTTCTGTGTAAGAAGTAATTGTTCCGTTTTTGTAGAATTGATCTTTATTTTCCACTTTTCGAAATAAGGCAATAGTCTCAATAGGTGATACTTCAGTTGTTTATTGGCAATATTCACGTAGTAAGAGGAAGCATATAAAACAGTGTCATCCGCGTATTGTCCAAAGTTTGTATTTGGATATCGAGGAATGTCAGCGGTATATAAAGAGTATAGTAGTGGTGCGATTACTGTGCCCTGTGGGACACCAGCGCGTATAAGTTTTTGAGAAGACAGAGAATTGCCCACCCTCACTCGGAAGTAACGACCTTGGAGATAGGATTTTATTAGATTTACAATATGTAGGGGATAATTATGTATAAAGAGGAGCTTGTAAAGAAGACCTTCATGCCAGACAGCATCGAAGGCCTTCTCCACATCCAGAAATAAGGCTAGAGTAGACTGCTGTCGCTGGAATCCCGTCTGTGCATCGTGTATCATTCTTGCAGCAAGTAGAGTGGTGTTGTGTCCGCGTCTGAAACCGAATTGTTCACTAGGCAATGTTTTGTTATTTTCTGCGTGTTTTGTTGTTCGTGTAATATAAGTTTTTCAGATACTTTTGCCATTGTATTCAATAATGCTATAGGCCTGTAGCTTCCTGGTTTCGTTGCATCTTTTCCTACTTTATATATTGGTGTTACTATTGCTTCTTTCCAGGCAATTGGAAAGTATTGGATTCGGACAATAGCATTAATCAAATACAGCAACTGCACTTGTGCTTTTCTCGGCAATTTTTTAAGAAGTAGGTAGCTAATACCATCTGGACCAGGCGCTTTATTGTTTGAAAAGCTCCTGATTGCCATTTTTAAGTTTTTATGTGATATATATGTGTCGCGTTTTGCTTGTTCATCCATTTCCGATCTAGGTAGATTAGTAATGCATTCATCAATATCTCGCTGTTCGTTAGTTGTACTTGGTCGTGGAGTGTGAACTGTTGCAAACTGCTTAGCGAACATCTCGGATTTCTGTTTGTCGTCAAAAGCTTCTATGTTATTGTCTTCCAATGTCGGAATAGTCCGAAATGTTTTAGTCAGTATTTTTGTCATTTTCCATAGAGAGTTGTCTCTTATATTTAGGCCTTGTAATTTAGTTTGCCAGATATTATTTTTGTGTTGAGCTATTTTTAGAGTAATCTGTCCGGACAATAGATTGAATTGCTCTCTATCTTGTGGTCGTCTATGTCTTTGCCATATTTTTCTTAGGTTGTTCCGCGCTTTGATTAGGTCCGTTATTTCTTCAGGTAAGACGTCTTCTCTAGGCCTGATACGCACTTTCTTACCAATGACAGCTCGAGCGTTTTGAATTAAGTCAGTAAAACGCTCCACCTCTCTATTGATGTCCTGTGCTGTGCTTATATTATTGTTTATTTGAAGATTTTGATTGATAAGATTTTTATATTGATCCCAGTTGGCATTATTGTATGTCCATGCTAGGTTGGTATAGTTTTGTGTGTTAATATTACTTGATATTGAGAAAAATACCGGAAGATGATCGGAGTTAAGTTCATTTTTTGTGGATAGTTGGATATATTGAGTAATATTTTTATTTAATACTATATCTATATACGTTGGGGTCATGCCATTGAGGGGTATATGGGTGGGAGTAGAGGTGTGTAAGAGCGCAACATTATTGTTAAGCGTATATGTATATAGGTTTAGTCCACTAGTGTTATTTACGTGATTTTTCCAGGCTATGTGTCGCGCATTTAAATCACCCATTAATAATACTCGAGGGAAAGGAGAAATAAGATTGTCTAAGTCATTGTGAGTCAGTGTGTTGGATGGAGGGTTATAGCATGCAACAATATGAGTATCATCACTTAATTTGATAATGATGTGTTCTACGGAACTTTGTAAGTTAATGTTTAATAGCTTATGTGGTATACGTGCTCTTACTAATATTGCTACACCTCCTCCGCGTCTTTGTGTCCTGTCCTGTCGGTGGACACTAAAATGTCTAATTTTTATACGGTCTATGTCAGTAAGTTTAGTCTCACTTATGCACATGATATCAACTTTGTATATTGATAAGAAGTGTATAAGCTCGGACATTTTATGTCTTAGTCCATTGGCGTTCCACAGTACAATGTTCAGTTTAGTCATTATTTGTCAGGTGTAAAATTTAGTCTTGTTGGCGTATTATGTTGTATTTAGTGACTTGGTTTTGTTCAAAGCCAAGCATAACCCTAATCACTTCCATACCCGTGTGAGCATTTTTTAGGAGTTCCTTCAGCGATGCCAAAGCTCGACTTAACTCAGTAAAATTAATCATACGATTTATTTCTTCAGCATCTCGAATGACATCGCTGTAGGAATTCATAAAATTGTCGGCGTTAAACATACCTTCCTCTCGGTCTGTTTTCGCGTAGTTTGATCTAGGTGGTTGGGTGCTACGTTGTTGTGTAACCGTTGCTGCCTCTTGTTCTTTTCTTCTGTTTCTTTCTTCCCAGGCGTTGACTGTCGGTGGTGGTGCTGAACGGTATGTCTGTTTTTGGGGCCCTGATGTTGCAGATTTTCTGTGTTCTAAGCTTTGTAGTTTTTCCTTATATACCGGACATTCCGGGTTGGCTGCTGTATGATCTCCATTGCAGTTTGCACATTTAGCTGGTTGGTCTAGGGGTTTTGTACAGTTGTAGCTATAGTGGTTTTCGGCACATTTCACACATTTTGGGGCTCTTCTACAGTTGTTGGTTGTATGTCCCCAAACTTGACATCTTCGACATTGTATGATTATTCTATCGTTTTTGCGACGTTCCCAGTATACTCTAGTGTATTCGATAACGCTTGCTTTTTCGTTTAGTACTTTTAGCAAGACGTTTTTATTTGTGGTAACCATAAATAGCGGGTAGTTTTCGTTCTTCGTTTTCATTTTATAGACTTCGTTGATTGGTATTTTTAATTCATCTTTTAAGGTTGCTTTGATATTTTCCGTGATAGTATCTTTGTGGAGTCCGCGTAGTACAAAGGCGTGTGAGGCGTTGTCTCTTGGTGTATATGTGTGAAATTCTATTCCTGAATTATCATTCTCTAAGTATTTCTTCAGATTGTCATAGTCTTGGATATTGTTGGTTTGAATGACTGTAGTATTTATATTATACTTCAATGAAAATTCTGCTTTGATGTGTTCTTTGAACTTCTGGATACATGTTTTGTGATCATTGATTGTTCCTTGGAGTACAATTGGGGGAGGTTTTCTCTTTTTCGAGGTTTTGATGTTCTCAAAATTTTTCTTAAACGTACTTTTTGATTTTCGTTTTATTTCGGTTTCGGTGTCTGTTTCCGAATCTGTCGAAGATAGATTTTCGTCATTATTTAGTCTACTAAATTTGTTTGCCGTGGCTGTTTCTGGCGTTCGTTTTCTTTTATTTATTAATGCAGACAGTGGTACTGTGATTTTTGGACTCACAAATAGATCAGAGCTTACTGAAGCAGTGTCCATTTCTCTCGTGGTAGTCTCTTCGTGTTTCCCCTTGGTTATTTGGGAGGTGGATGTTTTTGGCTCAGTATCGGAGATGCCATGCAATTTTTCTAGGTGCTGCTCGATTTCTTTGAGGGTTACACTAATTGCCTCAGTATCAACCTTTTTTGACGTGGCGTTCTTTGTGATTGTCAGTACACTTCTAGCGCAATGTTGACAATTGCGGGTTTTGATGTTGTTTGCAAGAGTTTTACAAGCTTATTTGCCCTTTTCACTATTTTGCTGGTTGTGTCCTGGGTTGGTGCCGAAGATCCCTTGGTGTTAATATTATGGTCGAGGGTCATCCCCCCGATCCAGGAAACATTTGAGTTAGATTCAGATGAATCTATTTTGAATTGTTATAAAAACAAATGCAGTAAAAAATAAATATTTCTTTATCTTCGCGCCACACGAGGTAGATAAATAAATCGGTGCAAAAAACACTCGCAAGTGGCCCTGAACACTGCGTCCGCACGGTACCGCAGCTAGTAGGCGAAGCGATAGCCTCAGCCACGGAGCCACAGGTGCTCTTGCAAAACGCTTATGGCTAGACATTACTTTCCGCCGACATGAACGACGTCACAATATCTATTAACGGCATTTTAGTAGGCTACCGTTTAACGGCTGTTTAAGTACATCGTTATATAAAATATTATATCATGTAAATGAATAGGACAATGCACACTATCCGTTCCGTTTCCCTTCCGTTCCATATCCTTTCCTTCCATAGTTTTTTTTTGTCGGACGGTCTGAGGCGTATCGGAAACAGTGTTGTCATTGTCAAGTTCTTACATTTGTACCAGCTCTGTTAATATTTTGCTGATATTTATTTATTCTTTCACCTCTTAATTAAATCTATTATCTTTTTCAAAAGATACAAATTGTTAAAATAAAGCTTTCGTAATGATATAAATTGTACAATGAAAAGTATGGAACTGATACGGAACAGAAGCTTACGTATAGCGTCAATACAATAAAAAATACGGACCGAATATATAATGTATATGGAATGGAAACGGCAGGTATAGTGAGAACCAACCTTAATTTATAAAGTAACGTCAATATTTGGATGAAAATTGGTGTCTATGAGTTTTTTGACATGACAAATTTGATTTTGATGTCAATGTGACTCCTACTTGTAGAGGGTGCCACCTACGTGTTTTTTAACTTGTTTGAAGAGTAATAACTTTTCGTCCGTACCTATATAAAACTACTGAGTAAAAAAATATACATTTAGGATACTTTTTACGTAAGGAAGGTCTCTTGGTAAAAATCGCTACGAGTAATGGTTCTCGAGATATTTGGAATCGAAATCATCAATACCTGTCATCATTGACATAAATTAAACATGTTGACTAAAGAGTTATTCAGTTATTAGACTGAAATCATAAATTTGACTTGATTTTGTGCAAAAAGTTCAACAGAAAATGTTTTATCATAATTTTTTCGCAGAAAAATTTATAACTAATCTAAAAAAAATAAAATTATTTTTCAAATTTATTATTTCAGTCAAATAACTATCTACTCAACGTGTTTATTTTTTTGTCAATAATGACATGTATTGACTAATTTCATTCTAAATGTCTTGAAAACGGTTGCTCGTAGCGACTTTTACCAAGAGAAATTTTTTACGTAAAAAATAACGGAAATTAATATTTTTTTACTACGTTTTATACAGGTACAGACGAAAAGTTATTACACTTCAAACCAGTTAAAACACATGTAGGTGGCGCCCCCTACAAATAGGAGTCATATTGACATCAAAATCAAATTTCTCATGTCAAAAAACTGCCAGACACCAATTTTCAGCCAAATATTGACGTTACTTCAGAAATTATTTGGAAAAAATCGAAATAAAAATGAAATTTCTACACCCTGTATCTCCGAAACTAAGCATAAACATTTTAGGACATACATTTATACAAACTCTTTTACTTATTTTTATCTGCAGAATATGCAGCCGAAGTTTCCGGAATACAATTCGGACCACCCTGTTACTTTACATTCTCTGTATTTAGCCACCTTTTCTCTGATTTGCCCACCCCCCATCACTACTGTCATGGCTTGTAACGATCGGCAAAAGCTTACAAATGCAAAGGCACCTTTACGTCCGAATTGTTATTATTACTCTCCTATATTCTTATGTGAACTGCGGGGTATACTGTATATATTACCAAACCATCATTTCTAAATCTCCAAATAAGTGCTGCAGGAGTTTGGATTTGGAGGAGTGATGGATAGTTGTGTTTATGGCGCGACCTCTCAAAACTGTGACTTCATCTCCGCTATTACAAAACTAGACGTAACTAAAATATAATTCTGAGATCCGTTTATAGGAATATTACAACTGTCATACCTAACTCCAACGCTTTGATCTCTGGAGTAAAGCGGTTTGGACATTGTGCGTGGAGAGAACAGCACATCGAAAGTGACAATGGATGGGTCTTATGACTAGACAGGACCAAAGTAGATGGGCGCATTAGCACATAGAATCTCAATGGGTGGTGCCCGGTGGCGTAAAGGTACATGCTCTAGTCTACCAATCTGAAGGTGTGGGTTCGATTCCCACACCCGGCATTTCATCAGCCGACTATTTTTATTAAAATAAAAATAGTTTGGGAACCTAGGTCGACTCATCCATAAATGAGTACTTGAGATTCACAATCCTGAGGTAATAATAGGCGGTTGAAGCGTAGTGCTAGCCACATTACCTTCCTTGTATACCGAACGGCTCTAGTATAGCAAGCTGTACCTTGCTACTCCCAAGGCGTTAAACGCGATATACGGGAGCTATTATTATTATCTCCATCTTAAAATTCTATGTGCTATAACGGAGATGGAGTCACAGTTTTCAGAGATAGCGTCATAAACAAAACTATATCCAGGATTATGGAGATTTAGAAATGATAGTTTAGTAATAAATACAGTCCAGTTTACCCCGAAGTTCACAGTATAGGATTTGTAAATACGCGCGCGGACAGTATAATAACAACTCGAACGTAAAGGCGCTTTTGCATTTGTAAGATTTTGTCGATCGGTACAGCTCGCAAAAGTGATGGAAGTGAGTAAATACAGAGAAAAGGTGGGTAAATAGAAGGTGTAAAGTATATGTGAATGGTAAGGGTAAAAACTAACGAATTTTTAAGTAATCAACTGGATTTGTTGAGAATACCAAGTACCAAATACATGTTAAATTATTGTAATTGAATATAATAAACAATATCCATATAATAACGCGTACAGTAATATTTTTTTTTATCTTAAGCATGGTATTTGTCAATATTAAATCTGGGAAAACAGAAAAAGTATCGGTAGACCTCAGAAGAGATAGCTGAATGACAGACATCCATTAAACACTGGTATCTATAAGCAGAACAGAGATATATTTCTGAACCTGGATCCACATTCATCGAAACAAAAAGAAGGGATCTACATAAACCACTGGACGAACCAAGACTACCAAGAAGGGTAGAATAATTTCAATAGTTGTTTACCAATCAGAACAAATAACAGGTCTCTGATGTCAGAATAATATGGTTTCCGTCCTGTCATATATTTATTTATTTACAATACAGTGTCCCCGAAATAAGTGCAGATATTTTAACTGGTAATATACCCCAGAAACACAGGAGCATTTAAGAATTCTATTAATTGGTGAATTGGTACACTGCCATTCACCAACTAATAGAATCATATATCAATTCTCTCTGATGTAGGATAAGTTTCTATTTTCGGAAAATTTCTGAGATTTTTTTTTTGTTTTGACTGACACAAAACAGGTAAGTAGTTGCTAAAATTGAACTAATTAGACAGTTGTGTTGAAGCAAAGGTGCCCAGTGGCGTAGAGGTACAGGCTCTCGTCTACCAATCTCAAGTTAGTGGGTTCGAATCCTACACCCGGCATTTCATCAGCCGACTATTTTTATTAAAATAAAAATAGTTTCGGTACCTAGGTCGACTCAGCCTTAAATGAGTACTTGGGATTCATAATCCTGAGGTAATAATAGGCGGTTGAAGTGTAGTGCTGCCACATTACCTTCCTTGTACCGAACGGCTCTAGCATGGCAAGCTGTACTTGCTACTCCCAAGGCGTTAAACGCTATACACGGGAGCTATTATATTATTATTATTATGTTGAAGCAATGTCAAACATATCACAGCCACCTAGATTTTATCAAATAATAAAGATATCTACTCACATTAAAAAATATTTGTTTGAGGGGTAGGCAACCTTAATAATAAAAGAACTGTTTTTGAAGAGACATGAATTGAATATCGGAATAATATAAAGGGTGTTCCATTTAAACTTGTTTTTAAAGGTAATCAATGTTTAACATTAATTTTACCTCGCCCTGTATAACTTCAGGTTTTAATTGGTTACTGTACAATAGTTATTTAACTACATATTAGCCTATACCGGGTAAATTCCAATTTAGGTACTTAGCTTTTATTGAAATTTATTTTTTTATTTTTCTTCATTTTTAGAAAATATTAAGTAAAAATTTTTACATTTCAGTCATATACCTTTCCTAATAAAACTTACTTATATTTTTATTTTAGAATAGAAAAATATATTAGTATATAGGGTGTTTCATTACAAAAAACACAACCTTAATGTGTAACTTTTTTGGAGGACACCCTGTAAAACTCTATATTTTAAGAAGTGCTCCGAATTAACCTACATATGCTCACAAAATTTCATTTCAATACAAACTGTCCTTCTCCTTGGAGCCTCCGTGTCGTATGAGAGGCGCCACCATGTACTTGTTTACTGCACTTATTTCTGCGACACCCTGTATAAATACTTGGAGAAGGTCATGGATATAAAAAACATGATTTTAGGAAAAAATGCTTTAATCGGTTTTAGATATTATATACACCTCCATAGAATTTGTAATGTTGCTATCCCCAATAACATCGTCGTCCAATTGTTTGGTCTTCTTACGCCCGAGTTTTTGAGAATTTCTATTCTCCCGTGAACTTCGGGAAACAATGGACTGTATTTCTTTATATACCAAACCATCATTTCCAAATCTGGCAAGTCCTGGGTGGTTTTCTTTATGGCGTGATCTCTGAAAATTGTAATTCCATCTCCGCCGTTAGACAGAAAACTAGACGTAACTACTGTATAATACTGAGATTCGTTTAATGTCTCATAGACAGGAATTTTGCAACGGCCACACCTAACTCTAACACTCCGAACTCTGAAGTAAGGTGGTTTGGACATATCCACTTGCAGACGAATTCCGGAAACTTGTGGAAATTCTCCTTTGGAGGTTTCTCCTTCCGACCTAACCATTTGTTCGAAAGCGTACAGTAAATTGGAACCGCTTAAAGTTAGTGTTACAACTTGGTTACCGAATGGTAGAGCTCCGAGTAGATCACCGCGGGAAACGGACAGGTTATCGGCTGGTGTGATGGTGCTTCTGATACCACCTGAGTTGTAGATTCCTATGGGAGCACTGGTCCATGTTTGATACGATACTGACGTGACGTAAGCTACGTGAACATCAGTTATAAAATTCCCAAAGTTGCACTCTTTATGGCGTACATCAGAATTTCCATCCAATACAACTTTTGAAACACCTACTGTTTCTTGATTTAATTTGACTACAGCAGGTCTATAAACTTCAAGTAATCCCAAAACATCTCCTTGCTGAGCTATACCGTTACGCAGGAATATCGGTTGTCCGGAAGCGTGTTTTAGATTGCCGTCAGGGTCAAAAGTGACATTTAGCACACCTAAGTACTTGGTATAAGCATAGGCTTGGACTACCGGCACTTTTTTACCCGAAGTTTGAGTTATCCATTTAGGATAAACGTCTTCTTTAATTTCCAAATCCGGCTCTTTCCCGTTCCATAGAAAGGTGTTTGTGTGGCCTCCGATGACTATATCAACTTCCTTTACTTCTCTGGCGATTTTTTTGTCTACTTTGTAACCAGAATGTCCGAGAGCTATAATGATTTCTACACCATCATCAATTAGTCTCCTGGCTTCTCTTCTGACCTCTCGGACTTCGTCGAGAAATACTACTTTTCCCGGTGAAGATATTTTGGTAGTTTCGGGGGTTAGATATCCTACAACGCCTACTTCGTACCCTTCCACTTCTAATACGACGGATTTCTTTACTTTTGACAGCGAGGGTTCTTTTGTGAAATTTAGATTGGCAGCTACAAATGGCGCATTTGTTTTATCGACAAACATCGCCAATGTCTCGGGTTTTAGGTCGAATTCATGATTTCCTAGTGCCTGAAACCAAGAGTTAATTAGTATATTAATAATTGTTTCTTTTTTCCTTAACCATCAATTTATATATGTCGCAGGCATATCGAATAACGGCACTTTGCAAAAAGACTAGGCTTATTATAAAACGCCGGCGTTTTTAACGAAGTAATGATATTTTACAAAGAGCCTATCTTTTTTTCAGTCGCTTTGCAAAATGTCTAATGAAGACTAATCAGATTGCACAAAACATTTTACGCGGGATTGGTATAACTAACCTAAATTTATCCAACGACATTTCTTGAATTTCTCTTTCAAAATTAGGAAATAATGGCACAAAAAGTGATAATTCTGTTAGAGTATGGTTAAGAACGATTATTATAAAGGTATAAATTCATCTTTTTTTAACAGAAAATAAATTTCTACGAAAAGAAACAGTCTCATATAGTAAGGATGCATGGCGAGGACTTCCATGTAAAACAGTTCATTATTTATTCTTAAATAGAAATGAAACCAAAAAAATGTGGCCTTAATATTCTGAGATTATTCCCAAATTTTTTTTTTTGGATAAATAATATTTACATTTATATTGCATTTCGGTTTGCATTGCATTATGGGTAGTTCCCTCATTTCATAGACTAACAACAAATCAATAGGGAAAAATTGACCAAAACGTAAGGCGAAAAAAGACGCAAATATATTGGTACCGTGAGGAGGAGCCACCCGGACCGCTCCCAAGCAACACGCAATAGTATATTTTACGTTTAAACTGATCTAATACCGTCCGTCTTATCTAGGTATACGACAAAGAATGTGAAACGTATAATAAACTGCAAAATGTCCGTGACTTCAACGTATATATTTCAAATTCAAATTCAAATTTCTTTATTAGACCCCATTAAGTTTTACAGAATAATATTAGTATTAATAAATGTGTGTCTAAAGGGATCGCACCGCGATTAAAAAGCCCATACAATGGCACAAAGTGCCAGAGTGGTGCGACCCCAAATACAAAATAGAAATAATTAAATTATAGAAATAAACAAAATTAAAAAAATTAAAATTTAGGTTATAAGCAGAGAGGCACAATGAAACAGTGTAATACCATATTTAAGGTATTTCTATTCCTTTTATAACTGATGTGAACTTAGCAGCCAAAAGATATCGGCCGATTTGCCGAACATAGCCGAAGGGCCAGTGGCGTCGGGCGACTTAACTTAATATGAAATAATCATACAATTTCTTGCAGGAGAATTTTATTAATATTTAAATAGTACTAAAACGAAGTATGCTTCATTATGTTAATATATTATTACCGATATTTTTATATCGGATTAATTATTATAATTTCAAATTGACACGTCTAGTGTAATTTTATAAAATATGTATACATTATACTAATGTAACCAAAATTAAAAGAAAATAAAAAAACTAATTCATTTATGATAGTACTAGTACTACCTTTATCAACACAATTGGTTACTATCATATCGACAGAAACAACAAAAAAAAGGTCATGATTTATATCACTACTAACTACAAGCATACAGTTTCGTGTTATAAGTAGATCGATTTAGTTTTCGGTATTTTCGTTAGCAGCTAATTTGTTTATACCGTTTTTCCGATTTTCTCGAAAACGGCGTATACTAACAAGATCAAAATTTCAGGGATTATAGAGGCCCATCAGACTAATAATAATCTCCCAGTGGCGTGTTCTTGATCGATTTAGTTTTCGGTATTTTCGTCAGCAGCCAATTTGTTTATAACGTTTTTCCGATTTTCTCGAAAACTACGTATACTAACAAGATCAAAATTTCAGGGATTATAGAGGCCCATCAGACTAATAATAATCTCCCAGTGGCGTGTTCTTGATCGATTTAGTTTTCGGTATTTTCGTCAGCAGCCAATTTGTTTATAACGTTTTTCCGATTTTCTCGAAAACTACGTATACTAACAAGATCAAAATTTCAGGGATTATAGGGGTCCAGTAGACTAATAATAATCACCCAGTGGCGTGTTCTTGATCGATTAAGTTTTCGGTATTTTCGTTAGCAGCTAATTTATTTATACCGTTTTTCCGATTTTCTCGAAAGCGGCGTATACTAACAAGATCAAAATTTCAGGGATTATAGAGGCCCATCAGACTAATAATAATCTCCCAGTGGCGTGTTCTTGATCGATTTAGTTTTCGGTATTTTCGTCAGCAGCCAATTTGTTTATAACGTTTTTCCGATTTTCTCGAAAACTACGTATACTAACAAGATCAAAATTTCAGGGATTATAGGGGTCCACTAGACTAATAATAATCACCCAGTGGCGTGTTCTTGATCGATTTAGTTTTCGGTATTTTCGTTAGCAATAATTTGTTTATACCGTTTTCCGATTTTCTCGAAAACGGCGTATACTAACAAGATCAAAATTTCAAGGATTATAGAGGCCCATCAGACTAATAATAATCTCCCAGTGGCGTGTTCTTGATCGATTTAGTTTTTCGGTATATTTTCGTCAGCAGCCAATTTGTTTATAACGTTTTTCCGATTTTCTCGAAAACTACGTATACTAACAAGATCAAAATTTCAGGGATTATAGGGTCTCACTAGACTAATAATAATCACCCAGTGGCGTGTTCTTGATCGATTTAGTTTTCGGTATTTTCGTTAGCAGCTAATTTGTTTATACCGTTTTCCGATTTTCTCGAAAACGGCGTATACTAACAAGATCAAAATTCAGGGATTATAGAGGCCCATCAGACTAATAATAATCTCCCAGTGGCGTGTTCTTGATCGATTTAGTTTTCGGTATTTTCGTCAGCAGCCAATTTGTTTATAACGTTTTTCCGATTTTCTCGAAAACTACGTATACTAACAAGATCAAAATTTCAGGTATTATTAGGGGGTCCACTAGACTAATAATAATCACCCAGTGGCGTGTTCTTGATCGATTTAGTTTTCGGTATTTTCGTTAGCAGCTAATTTGTTTATACCGTTTTTCCGATTTTCTCGAAAACGGCGTATACTAACAAGATCAAAATTTCAGGGATTATAGAGGCCCATCAGACTAATAATAATCTCCCAGTGGCGTGTTTTTGATCGATTTAGTTTTCGGTATTTTCGTTAGCAGCTAATTTGTTTATACCGTTTTTCCGATTTTCTCGAAAACGGCGTATACTAACAAGATCAAAATTCCAGAGATTATAGAGGCCCATCAGACTAATACTAATCACCCAGTGGCGTGTTCTTGATCGATTTAGTTTTCGGTATTTTCGTTAGCAGCTAATTTGTTTATACCGTTTTTCCGATTTTCTCGAAAACGGCGTATACTAACAAGATCAAAATTTCAGGGATTATAGAGGCCCATCAGACTAATAATAATCTCCCAGTGGCGTGTTTTTGATCGATTTAGTTTTCGGTATTTTCGTCAGCAGCCAATTTGTTTATAACGTTTTTCCGATTTTTTCGAAAACGGCGTATACTAACAAGATCAAAATTCCAGGGATTATAGAGGCCCATCAGACTAATACTAATCACCTAGTGGCGTGTTCCTGATCGATTTACTTTTTGGTATTTTCGTCAGCAGCCAATTTGTTTATACCGTTTTTCCGATTTTCTCGAAAACGGCGTATACTAACAAGATCAAAATTTCAGGGATTATAGAGGCCCACTAGACTAATAATAATCCCCCAGTGGAGTGTTCTTGATCGATTTAGTTTTCGGTATTTACGTCAGCAGCCAATTTGTTTATACCGTTTTTCCGATTTTCGAGAAAATCGGAAAACGGTTATTATTAGCCTAGTGGGCCTCTATAATCCCTGAAATTTTGATCTTGATAGTATACGTAGTTTTCGAGAAAATCGGAAAAACGTTATAAACAAATTGGCTGCTGACGAAAATACCATAAACTGAATCGATCAAGAACACACCACGATTATTATTAGTCTAGTGGACCCCATAATCCCTGAAATTTTGATCTTGTTAGTATACGCCGTTTTCGAAAAATCGGAAAAACGGTATAAAGAAATTAGCTGCTGACGAAAATACCGAAAACTAAATCGATCAAGAACACGCCACTGGGGGATTATTATTAGTCTAGTGGGCCTCTATAATCCCTGAAATTTTGATCTTGTTAGTATACGCAGTTTTCGAGAAAATCGGAAAAACGGTATAAACAAATTAGCTGCTAACGAAAATACCGAAAACTAAATCGATCAAGAACACGCCACTGGGTGATTATTATTAGTCTACTGGACCCCTATAATCCCTGAAATTTTGATCTTGATAGTATACGTAGTTTTCGAGAAAATCGGAAAAACGTTATAAACAAATTGGCTGCTGACGAAAATACCATAAACTGAATCGATCAAAAACACACCACTGGGTGATTATTATTAGTCTAGTGGACCCCCATAATCCCTGAAATTTTGATCTTGTTAGTATACGCCGTTTTCGAGAAAATCGGAAAACTGTATAAACAAATTAGCTGCTGACGAAAATACCGAAAACTAAATCGATCAAGAACACGCCACTGGTGATTATTATTAGTCTACTGGACCCTATAATCCCTGAAATTTTGATCTTGTTAGTATACGCAGTTTTCGAGAAAATCGGAAAAACGGTATAAACAAATTAGCTGCTGACGAAAATACCGAAAACGAAATCGATCAAGAACACGCCACTGGGTGATTATTATTAGTCTAGTGGGCCTCTATAATACCTGAAATTTTGATCTTGTTAGTATGGGCAGTTTTCGAGAAAATCGGAAAAACGGTATAAACAAATTAGCTGCTGACGAAAATACCGTAAACTAAATCGATCAAGAACACGCCACTGGGTGATTATTATTCTAGTGGACCCCTATAATCCCTGAAATTTTGATCTTGTTAGTATACGTAGTTTTTGAGAAAATCGGAAAAACGTTATAAACAAATTGGCTGCTGACGAAAATACTAAATCGATCAAGAACACGCCACTGGGTGATTATTATTAGTCTAGTGGACCCCTATAATCCCTGAAATTTTGATCTTGTTAGTATACGCCGTTTTCGAGAAAATCGGAAAAACGGTATAAACAAATTAGCTGCTGACGAAAATACGGAAAACTAAATCGATCAAGAACACGCCACTGGGTGATTATTATTAGTCTACTGGACCCCTATAATCCCTGAAATTTTGATCTTGTTAGTATACGCAGTTTTCGAGAAAATCGGAAAAACGGTATAAACAAATTAGCTGCTGACGAAAATACCGAAAACGAAATCGATCAAGAACACGCCACTGGGTGATTATTATTAGTCTAGTGGGCCTCTATAATACCTGAAATTTTGATCTTGTTAGTATACGCAGTTTTCGAGAAAATCGGAAAAACGGTATAAACAAATTAGCTGCTGACGAAAATACCGTAAACTAAATCGATCAAGAACACGCCACTGGGTGATTATTATTAGTCTAGTGGACCCCTATAATCCCTGAAATTTTGATCTTGTTAGTATACGTAGTTTTTGAGAAAATCGGAAAAACGTTATAAACAAATTGGCTGCTGACGAAAATACCGAAAACTAAATCGATCAAGAACACGCCACTGGGTGATTATTATTAGTCTAGTGGACCCCTATAATCCCTGAAATTTTGATCTTGTTGGTATACGTAGTTTTTGAGAAAATCGGAAAAACGTTATAAACAAATTGGCTGCTGACGAAAATACCGAAAACTAAATCGATCAAGAACACGCCACTGGGGGATTATTATTAGTCTAGTGGGCCTCTATAATCCCTGACATTTTGATCTTGTTAGTATACGCAGTTTTCGAGAAAATCGGAAAAACGGTATAAACAAATTAGCTGCTAACGAAAATACCGAAAACTAAATCGATCAAGAACACGCCACTGGGTGATTATTATTAGTCTACTGGACCCCTATAATCCCTGAAATTTTGATCTTGTTAGTATACGCAGTTTTCGAGAAAATCGGAAAAACGGTATAAACAAATTAGCTGCTGACGAAAATACCGAAAACTAAATCGATCAAGAACACGCCACTGGGGGATTATTATTAGTCTAGTGGGCCTCTATAATCCCTGAAATTTTGATCTTGTTAGTATACGCAGTTTTCGAGAAAATCGGAAAAACGGTATAAACAAATTAGCTGCTGACGAAAATACCGAAAACGAAATCGATCAAGAACACGCCACTGGGTGATTATTATTAGTCTAGTGGGCCTCTATAATACCTGAAATTTTGATCTTGTTAGTATGGGCAGTTTTCGAGAAAATCGGAAAAACGGTATAAACAAATTAGCTGCTGACGAAAATACCGAAAACTAAATCGATCAAGAACACGCCACTGGGTAATTATTATTAGTCTAGCGGACCCCTATAATCCCTGAAATTTTGATCTTGTTAGTATACGTAGTTTTCGAGAAAATCGGAAAAACGTTATAAACAAATTGGCTGCTGATGAAAATACCGAAAACTAAATCGATCAAGAACACGCCACTGGGGGATTATTATTAGTCTAGTGGACCCTTATAATCCCTGAAATTTTGATCTTGTTAGTATACGTAGATTTCGAGAAAATCGGAAAAACGTTATAAACAAATTAGCTGCTGACGAAAATACCGAAAACTAAATCGATCAAGAACACGCCACTGTAGTAGTAGTGATATAAATCATGACCTTTTTTTGTTGTTTCTGTCGATATGATAGTAACCAATTGTTGATAAAGGTAGTAGTACTAGTACTATCATAAATGAATTAGTTTTTTTTTTTTAATTTTGGTTACATTAGTATAATGTATACATATTTTATAAAATTACACTAGGCGTGTCAATTCAAAATTATAATAATTAATCCGATATAAAAATATCGGTAATAATTTATTAACATAATGAAGCATACTTCGTTTTAGTACTATTTAAATATTTATAAAATTCTCCTGCAAGAAATTGTATGATTATTTCATATTAAGTTAAGTCGCCCGACGCCACTGGCCCTTCGGCTATGTTCGGCAAATCGGCCGCTATCTTTTGGCTGCTAAGTTCACATCAGTCCTTTTATAATCGTATATACATATACCAAATATTATACAAGATGGTAAACGTATATATACTAGGATTACACGTAGACCAAATACGTGTAAATATATATAAATTATACCCTATAACCCCTTTATAGGTATAACATAATATTGCAATCTTTCAGAGACCTAAAATTAAAAAGTTTGTTTTCACTGCTTCAAAAATTCTACCTATTAATAAAAACAATATTACTAAGTGGTTAAATTACTAAATTTAATTTGCTAATACATTTTTTATGATTAATGGTAGGATTTTTAATGAATAAGTATAAAAAAACTTAATTGGAAATCTTCTTTAATAACATCTTAAAAATTGGAGACATAACGTACATTACTGAAATAAAAATAAACAAAACATATCATAATTCTTAAAATAAAAAAAACTGACAATGCATAAATATAACTAAATATAAAATATAAAGAATAATATAATACATACGTTCACATTTTTTCTCTGTTATACGAGTAGTATATTATTTTACAAAATCGTTTAAATCAATCCAGTTGTCTACCAGAATAAGAAAGTTTGACAATGGTTTGACAGCTTCTAAAAAATGGAGAAAGGGCAAACGATATATTATACAATTACTGATAGGGTGTAATAAATAACTTCCTAACAACAAGTTTTTATTTAATCCATGTTCTAAAAGTAACAAAAAAGGTTTGGTTTAAGAAAGGTCTGTTTTTTAAAAAAGCGTTTGAGCGAATTGTTTTTTTAATTTGCAACAGAGGTGTATGTAAACGGTATACAGTATACGTTTACAAAACCTATGCTCAGCGCTGCAAAAACTTGTCATTGAACATGAACATATTCATGCATATAACAATTTACATAAATACGTACATGTGATGTTAAATATGTGCTTATAAATTTAAAACTTACCCTCAATTACGTTTCCAAAGAAAAAAAATGACGAAAAAAAATCCTCAAAACGCTACAACGCGTAATACGTAAGTAACAGAGCCTAAGTGTACTTTCTCTTCCTTCTACAATTGAACTATAAATTGTGTAAAAGGAGTAGCTGGATATACCATATTTATGTCTTTAGGAAAAGTATTATATTAAATAACGCACCTTATATTGATATCAAACAAACAATGTGTGGACACAATGGCGTCTTTACCCTTGGTCACGCTTATGAATACCTTGAGCCTAGATGTATAGGTTGTCGAGTATAGGTTTCATATACGTATACCATATTCCATTTAGATTCCATCTGCTGTAAAAAGTCTAACGATATGATTGGTAGATCTAATCACGTGACCAGATTTTACAGTATCCAATAAACTTTTCGTATATGTAGTCTATATACTATTTCTATACAATTTAATGATACTGGTTATATACGTTTTTGAAATTCAGTTCATTTTAATATTTTTATATTGGAGTTCAAATTTATCAAAAAATTCCAAAAAAACAGTTTGATAATTACTTATTATGCCCTTTGTGTCCGAACTTTTCAAAAATTACGAATATAACTGACTTGGTACCAAAATCGAAATATTATATACTTAAAATATATGTTTGGAATATACGTTAAAAAGCAGTATAATAATATTCACTATAATAAACGTATATACTGAGATTAACGGAAAATAAAGCCCTTTAATATGCGTATATTATACGTTGGATATAAAAAAGTAATATGAAATACGTATATTATTGATACCTTTAAAAAATATACTATATTTATACGGATAGTACCTTAGACAAGGAAAGAGAGGGGACAGGTAACACGGCAGCTGAAAGTGAGGCAAGTTGTCACCAGGTGAAATTCTCCAATGGCGTAGCATCAGAAATTAGCTTGTACCTAGACGGTACAAAATATTTATTAAAACGTAAACTAATATATCGTTCATTTTTGAGTAATGCATATACAATTTTGTATTTTATAGTCTCACCTTTATAATATTAGAATATATAAGTCGATAATGCAAAATTTATTTAAGTCACAGTGGACTGATTATCAAGACAATTATTTATTTATTAACGTGTGTGTAATGTATAATTAAATAAAAAATAATGTAATAACATATGTTTTAAACGTGTATATACATATATACTGTATGATCGTAAACGACGTCTTGTTTGTTTGGAAATGACAATTTCACAAATGAATATTAAAAATTACATTATTCATTGAATCCGTAAGCAAGTGTGAAGGGGATTGGCTAGATTCATTATTATACTGTATGATGGAAAAAAAACGACGTCCAGTTGGCTTGTAAATTACGATAGATGATATTCCCCATACATATAAAATAACATAAAAGCTATACAAAACGACATCGAAAAAAGAGGGCGTCAGCGATAGCTATGAAATGAAGATCGCTGTCATTTTATATGTAAAATTATATGGTGAATGTCGTCGATCGTCATTTACAAGCCAACTGGACGTGGTTTTTTTTCGACCATACGGTATAATAATGAATCTAGCCATTCCCCTTCACACTTGCGTACGGATTCAATGAATAATGTAATTTTTAATATTCGTTACCTTCAATCATAAGAATATTCTAATTTTCCACCAAAAAATAAAAATTCTAGAAGCTTTGTGTTATTTTATTTATTTTTAAATTTGTATTAATTACTCACTGAAACTATTATTATACACCTAAATTAGCAAATTTTTTGAAATAATATTTAAAAAAATATATGTAGTAACAAGTAGCCCACCACAAGTTTGTCCACCCCCAGCAAATCTTGGCAGGTAAATTTAAGTTTTATATAACAACTATACATATAGATTTTTTATCACTAGAATTTTTAATTTTTTTTATAGTTTACAATTATTTTACATATTTGATAACAATACTTTATACATTTTTTTACATGTAAAATATATTAAAAAAATGTTTATTGCAGAAATTGTATTTCTCTGATTATAATTCCCTACGCCACTGGAGAAATATATGCTGAGTAGCATTATTTATAGTTTAAAACATTAATTATAATAAAGGATATTGAAAATACTACTTGGAATTATTAAAAATAGTTTGGTTTGGATGTGGTACAAAACATATTAAAATCATTTTACATATTTTTACTGCTATAATGAAAAAATGTACATTTTATGACTACATAACAAAAGTTGTGTATCGATTTTTACCTGTGAAATGTAATTCCAGCCATTTTTTTCTCGCTTCGGTCTTTGCAGCCATACGCTGAACATCTCACCATACTAAACAATACAGTTTATAAATTTAAAACAAAACAGTTGTCACAAAAAACATAAAAATTCGCTCGGTGTCACCTCGAAATCTTGTCACCAAAGTATGGCCGCCGATCGAATTTTGGCCTCACAAACCCATCACGGGAGAATATGCGTGTTAGCCGTCCCCTCTCTTTCTTTGTCTGAGGATAGTACGTTTATTAAACGTATATACTCTTGAACGGTGTTGCTTGGGCTTTGACTCAGTCTGACCCTGAACAGTCCTGTACACAGAATCAGAGTGTAATCATTAAATAAGATATTAATATTAAGGTTTTAATTTTGTATTTAAAATTATATCACTTATAATACCTAATTATAATTTATGAAATAGGTTTAAGTTATTTTCATCTACACAAAATAAAATTTTGACATAAATTATTGTTTTTGTGTAGGAAAATATGCGTTATTCTTATCATAAAGTGTAAATATGCTGATGTCCATAGCTGACTAAATTTTGATTATTTTTTAATCTGCCTGGCCTTGATTTGGTATTTTATAAAATAACTGAAAACAGGCAGTCTTTTTGCAGAAGTGTACGGAAAATATCGTACCTAATTCTGATTATGCTTTTTGCAAAGTGAGTGAAAATAGATAGGCTTTTGGTAAAATTACTTGTTTTGTTTAAAAAGCCGGCGTTTTGTAAATTGTCTAGTCTTTTTGCAAAAAGCCAGATTATTCTATACGCCTGTATATATGTCATACAGGATGAGTTTCCTACGATTTTCTTTATGGGAATCTCGGAAACTACTAACTACTGGAGATAGAGAGTCAGTTAATGGGGAAAGAATTGCATTTTTGTTGGATCATAAATATGCGCTTTTCAGATTTTTCAAAAAGTTCATGGCTAACTAGATATTTCGAAAAAAAAACAAATTTTGGCTATTTTAAAAATTGTCCCTAATTCCATTATAATATATTTTAGACAAAAATTTTCAGATAAAATTTGTAGATAATCACATCCGTAATGAGTTTGCGATCTCCAATTTTTTTTAAAGACTGTCATTTTTGACATATCACACAAACATATGTTTTTTAAAGAGAAACCATTTGGCCAGGACTTCATAAAAAGCGCCATTTTTTAAGCTTTTTTTTATATGTTTTTTCGAAAAATTACTGAGTTAACAGGGTGGTCCGAACTGTATTCCGGGAACTTCGGCAGCATATTCTGCAGATAAAATAAGTAAAAAAGTTCGTATAAACGTATGTCCTAAAATGCTTACTTTCGGAGATACAGGGTGTAGAAGATTCATTTTTATTTCGATTTTTTCCAAATAATTTCTGAAGTAAAGTCAATATTTGAATGAAAATTGGTGTCTGGGAGTTTTATGACATGAGAAATTTGATTTTGCTGTCAATATGGCTCCTACTAGTAGAGGGCGCCACCTACATAATTTTTAACCGGTTTGAAGAGTAATAACTTTTTGGCCGTACCTGTATATAACTACTGAGTAAAAAAATATACAGTTACGACGTTTTTTACGTAAAAAAGGTCTCTCGGTAAAAATCGCTACGAGTGACAGTTTTCGAGATATTTGGAATCGAAACTATCAATACCTGTCATCATTGACATTAATTAAACATGTTGACTAAATAGTTATTAGACTGAAATCATACATTTGAAATACTTTTGTGTCAAAAGTTCAACAGAAACTGTTTTATCATCATTTTTTGCAGAAAAATTTATGATTAATTTTAAAAAAATAAAAATTTCCCAAATTTATTATTTCACTGAAATAAGTATCTACTCTACGTGTTTATTTTTCGTCAATAATGACATGTGTTGACTATTTCCATCTAAATATCTTAAGAACGGTTGCTCGTAGCGATTTTTACAAAGAGATATTTTTTAAGTAAAAAGTCACAGAGATGTATATTTTTTCGCTCGGTAGTGTTATACAGATACGGACAAAAAGTTATTACTCTTCAAAACAGTTAAAACATATGTAGGTGGCGCCCTCTACTAGTAGGAGTCATATCGACATCAAAATAAAATTTCTCATGTCAAAATACTCCCAAACACCAATTTTCATCCAAATATTGACGTTACTTCAGAAATTATTTAGAAAAAATTGAAATAAAAATGAAACTTCTTCACCCTGTATCTCTGAAATTAAGCATTTTAGGACCTACATTTATACGAACTTTTTTACTTATTTTTATCTGCAGAATATGCTGCCGAAGTTTCCGGAATACAATTCGGACCACCCTGAATAACCAATTCTTAAGGTGCGTATTCATTATCCGAACGAACGAACGAACGAACGAATGAAAGTGCGGTATATTTAGACGGGGACCGAACGCATGCGGCCGTTCGTTCGTTCGTTCGCTCGACCATCCGTTTTGAGTCGGTACATCAAAGGCGTTCGCCAACAAATGCCTCCGGTCTTCTCGTGCGGTCCTATCGTGCGGTCCCCGTCCATACCACTAGCGAACATTCGTTCGTTCGTTCGTGCGGATAATGAATACGCACCTTTATAATTTTTAAGCAATTTCACTTAGTTAGCCATGGAAACAAGATCGATCGTTGTGAAATGTGAAACTGTCACTTCCAAACCTTGTAAATTAAAATAAACAAAAATTGTAAAAATGAATTTTTCAAATGAAGAAAAGCTTGGAGGATTATTGGTTCAACTTTTCTTGGCCATACATTTTCGAGGATACG